AGAGAACTATAAACCAAAACCAAACCAATTGTCATGGAGTCTTCAGACTTGACTCTATTGGCTTCTGAGGCTATAAATCTTAAAAGGAAGAGACTACCTATCTTTTTCACTGGTGGATTCAAACCTCTGACCTTTTGGTTAGTAGCCCTACATATAAGGCTCTATGTCACCAGGGCTCATTACAGAGAACTGTAAGAAAAATAGGGAGGGTGAAGGAAAAAGTAAAATGTTTTTTCTTCTGATTTTCTCAGGTTTTTGTTCTAATCCACCAGTTGTCCCAGAGGACAACTTATTATACTGGGAATAACTGTGTTATGTATCAGTGCTGCCAAATGCTTCCTTCTGAAGATATAATCACCTTTAACTCCTCTGATAGTCATTCAGCCAATTGTGAATTTTTTAGCCATAATCTATCATTCTCTGGAGAAACTCTGACAGCATAGTCTATAGGTAGTTGTTCTGCTAAACTAAGGACAGTTTATTCTAATTCATCAATACCTTAACGGGAGAAAGAAGGGCAATCTCCTCCTGTGCTATTTACAGCCTCCAAAAATATGCTGGAGAGTCAGCTATGAGTTGGCTTCAACTTGATATTCATAAGAGGGAGAGAAATTGCTCTCTTAGTATGGAGGAAAAGCAAAGTAAATCAAAGATAATCGGAACTAATACATACAAAGGACTCAGCCTCATTCTTGAGAACTAATTCATAGTTGGCCTTCCAGCAGACTTTATGAGGCTGCAAATTGCACAGGACAGTGCCCATTTGTGGATTCAAACTGGCAGAAAAGCACCACCGTTGGGCCACCGGAGCTTCTAAAGGACAAATAGATTCGTCAAAACTTGGCCTTAAGGATCCTGAGACCAAGGAGAACTAGATGGTAGCCAGCTATCGCTAAAAATTGCTCTGAAAGGGATCACAATAAAAGGTCCTAGATAAAGTGAGGGAAATGTAGAACTCAACTCCAAAAACGAAAACAGGCCAGGTTTTCTAGTCTTGGTTAGTAGTCATAGAGACTGGTGGGATTCCCAAGGCTATAGTCCTTAGTCAAGTCACTCTTGTACCTTAGCTTTCCATTAAATAGTAGACCTGTAGAGTGAAAGGGAGCTCTAGTGGCTTCAGTGATAAGGAATTGCACTGCCAACCCAATGGTTGTTTGTTGTTGTTGTTAAGGCCGTCGAGTCGCAGGTGACTCATAATGATCCTATGAAGGAGAGTCCTCGACGCTTGGGTGTCTCTCATCCTCTCTCCAGGTTCATAGGGTTTCTGGAGGCAAGCTATTACGGAAGTGGATGCCACTCCTCCTTCCACGCTTGTTTAATCAGGGAGCTCCACCCCACTCTCTGTCCGCATTGGGTAGCCAACCATTAACACATTTGACCCATCAGTGTACGGTGTTCAGCCTCACAGCAACCAAAAGTGACTGTGGTACGGCAACTTGTACACCAGGGCTATACGACCTAGAGGAATGTCTGAACAAAAACAATGAAAGACAGTCCCGAGGGCCACAGATTAAAAGTCACCCACCTTCGGCTTGGTAGCATTGCTTTCTGTCCACTGGGCCAGCTGATCTCTCTCTAAACCCAAAGTTACATGGTTTCAATCCACCAGTTGCTCTGCAGGAGAAAGCTAACCAATGCAATTCATGCAATCTGCTGCCTCTGAAAACCTGCTGGAGGGTTAACGCTGGGTAAATCCCAACTTGATGATACACAACAATAGTGTGAAAGGGGAGGAGGATTTGAAACAAAAGGTTGAACACTTGAAAACAAAAAGTGAGGGAGGACTCTCAAAAGATCAAAGACTACACCCTCTAATATGAATTACATTTCAACATCAAGAAAACCAAAATCCTTACCACTGGGCTGATAGGCAACATCATGATAGATGGAGAAAAGATTGAAATTGCCAATGATGTCAGCCTACTTGAATTCATAATCAACACCCTTGACACCAGCAATCAAGAAATCAAAAGACGTATTGCACAGGGGAAATCTGTTGTCAGGGACCTCTTCAAAGTACTGAGGAACAATGATATCAGTAAGACTAGGCTGCACCTGATTCAAGCCATGGTCATTTCAATCATTTGTTACGTATCTGAGAGCTGGGAAATGAATCAGGATAACAGAAGGATCAGTGCCTTTGAGATGTGGTGTTGGAGATGAGTGCTGACTGTCCCATGGACTGCCAAAAGAACAAATCGATGTGTCTTGAAGAAGGGGTAGCCAGAGTGCTCCTTAAAGGATAGTAAAACTTTGTCTCACATACTTTGTTGCTATTCCTTGGAGAAGGACATCATGCCTGGAAAGCTGGAGGGTCAGAGAAAGCGGAAGAGCCTCAACCAGGTGTATTGACACGGTGACTGTAACAGTGGGCTCAAGAGACGATGAGACTAGCACAGGATAGGACAGGGTTCAGATCTGGTGTTCAGAGGGTCACTACAAGTCATGCCTGACTCAATGGCACATAACGACAAAAACATAGGGTGAAAAACAGTAACAGAGAGTTATATTTAGAATAAATCATGTAAGATCTACAAGTAGCATTTTCCCAGAGACAGAATTCAGAAAAGAAGTATAGGAAAATATGATGGATGGAAATGTGAAACACAGACCGTGTGGGCTGAGAGATAATGCTTTGTGGGAATTGCAATCAATGTAATGAAACAAATGAAAATAACATGTTGAATGAAAAGCTATGTTGTTCTGTAAGCCTTCATCCAAAATCACAATGAAAAGTTTAAATAAGAAAAGAGAGAATATTAATATAATCACCGAACATTGACAAACAATATTTACACAGCATTTCTGAACTGGAAGTGGTGGTGTTGTTGTTATGTGCCGTCGAGTAGCTTGCGACTCATAGCGACCCTATGTACAACGGCCCTAAACTCTGCTCTGTCCTGTGCCAATCGCACTGTCTCCGATACACCCATCCTGATTACACCAGTCACTGAATCAATCCACCTCATAGAGGGCCTTCCCGTCCTGCGCTGTCCCTCCACCCTACCAAGCATGATGTCCCTCTCCAAGAACGGGTCCCTCCTTACAACATGTCCAAAGTATTTTAGATGGAGCCTCAGAAATATCAGAACTGGAAGTCGAGTTGTTAAAAATGGTGAGAATTTTTCCCCAAGCTCCTGTCTACTATACTGCCTCATATCAGGTTTCTCCAGCCAAAACTGCATTTCATTCAGACGTGACCAAGGACACTCACTCCCTTTGTATTGTTTGACTGAGCAAAGAGACAGCCCCAAAGGACTAGGCCAATACTAGCTTTGAATTCTGAAATGACTAATCTTTCCCTTATCTTGACTGCTAAGCAAATGAACAGACCTTATCCTTATTCGTAAAACAAAAATAACAACAAAAACAACCTTGTCTTAAAATAGGCACCCACCTTCCAAGGCATTCAACCTGCACATGGAAAAATGTGTGGAATGTGTTTATATCCTGCACAACTTAGAGGAAACTTTCTCTGCTCATTCTGTACACTGAACATGGCCCTGCCTGGCCTTGAGTTAATTAACTAGTATGCTTGATAGATAAATAGTCCCCAAGCAGCATGTCAAAGCCTATAATAATTCTATCATTTTCTTGACTATGGATATACCACAAAATTAAGAACCTATTGAGAGTGGAATGCACTAAGCAAAGAAATTTTTTAAATAAGCCTACTGGAGATTTGGTGATAGAGCTCATACAAATTGTTTTCCAGGGACCCGTCCTGGGTTGATATTAAATATATCAGCAGATGGAAGCTTCTTTGAAATGCTGTGCTATTAGTCACATAGTCCAATTCACTGGTCTTCACTAGCCTCTGTGTAAAGTGGATTCATGGATGAGTTTCTCTGTTTCTCCTTTGTCCTCATCCCTCTCTGGAGGCTTTTACTGGAGCATATACTTGGAGGTTTCTCATGGATACTTATGTCTGTCCCATTTGAGGCAAAAGAGTTATTGCCTCTGGTGGCTTTTTTTGCTAGTGTGGAATTTTGATAAAACACAAGCAGACAATAAAAAGAGAAATACAATTGGCAGCATGCCTACACGTGCGTGTGATGATTTGTCATTGTTGTTAAGTGCCCTAGAGTCATAGACAACCCATAGTGACCCTATGAACAACGTCTTGAACACAAAACTTTCATCTTTTCTCCAAGTTCATAGAGTTTCTGGAAGTGAGGTTTTTTTTTGGAAGCAGGTGTCACTACTGCTTCCAAACCTGTTTTATTCAGAAGATCCACAAAAACCGGCCCAAGGACCACAGGCCCTCAAGCCCAAAAGCCTTTTTAAATATGAGGCCAAATCCAATCAGCTCATATCATGTTGTGAGCAACAGCCTTTACCTAGTCTCAACCCCAAACAAGAAAATCACCTTTGCAGAATCCAGCTGTTCTACTCATATTCCCAGCCTAGAAATAGTGATAAATACACCTAGATATATACACATTGCCCCCACCCCTCTCAATTCATGCATACAGAATTACCAGATCTATTAACATATAGTCTGGCAATGAGGAATTAATAAAAGGAAATACAAGTAGTAATTCTTTGCACCACCACACTGGAAGTCAGCAGACCCTCACCCCTGGGATATTCTCTGTAAGATTAGGTATCAAACCAGCCTTGACTTCTTCTGTACACACAGCCCTGCTCATCACCAGAGACAACACATGTCAGTCATGGAAGACAAGATTCACATCATTCATCAGCACACATTTATTGAGTGTCTACTCTGCACCAGGTGCTGTGACAAGAGAGTAAGACCCACAAGGGACTCATATCTAGCAAAGAAGTGAATGTGCAAACAAACTCATAAATTCACAGGGCAGTTACACATTTACAAGTGTGTCAAAGAAATTGAGTCTATTTCTTCCTTTCTGGAGTCTGGGAAGGAGGCAGCTCTCCTTCCATCATAGGATGAAATGTGGGTCAAGAGGTATCTGCTTAGCACAGGCTGGCTGAGGGCTGCACTGTCTTCCAGATGGCTTCAGTCCTTGAGTCCTTTAAGTCAGCTTCTCTCGCTTGCCCCTCAGATATGTCTGATGGTAGAAGTTGAGAAAAAGAGCAAAGAGGCTGAGGGTGTACAGGAGGGTGGCTATGTTGAATCCATCAGGGAAGGGACATGTAGCAAAGAGATTGTAGGCAGAGTGTGTAGTGATGGCCACAAACTGGCACTGGAGGAGAGTGAGGAGAGTGACAGTTAGAAACAGTGTGAATTTGTTCCAGAGCAGGAACAAGAAGGGGCACCACTGATGAACAGAGAGCTGATCTCCCACAGGTCAGGGGAAGAGAAACAATAACGTCTGCTGAAACCTACACTCCATGTCATTCACATGCCCATGCACCTGAGAATCCTTCTGACCCTTGCCCTGGATTGGATCATCCCTTGACCTACTCCAACCATGTCATATTGATATGAGCAATGAGTCCTACTCATCCTGAGCTCCGTAACAGACTTTCCAAGGTGTCACAACCACCTGGCAGTGGTGCTCCCCAACCCATAAGATCTTGGGATCCTGGTTAGTCAAACCAGTGATCACAGATCAATGGAACACTGATATCTAAGATCATATAGTCCAGCCCTCTCTCTTCACAGACAGTAAGGGATTTGAAGTGCAGATCTGACTTGCTCAGAGTCCCAAATCGAGTCAGTGAGTTACAATTGGTTTTAAGATCTAATATGACTTCTTCTGATAACTGTGCAAGTGGAGAAACAAAGACGGGCTCATGGCTCAGCAGTGCTTATTTACAGCCAGATACCAAGTCACTGGGACAGCTTAGAAAAGGGCTCATGGAGGGCCCCAGGAGCTGAAGGGGTACTCTCACCAGCTGTAAGATGGTAAGATAGCGCTTCCACCACAGGTAGGGCTGCATGCAGGGCCCCAGACAGGCTAGTCCATAGTACAGGTACATGAAGACATGGACCAACGAATTAAGCATCCCGATGAAGAAGGCTGCAGGGTGGGGAGATAAAGAAAAATAAGTGGAGCTGGGCCTAGTTGGTTTCTTGTGGTTTTTCTTTCTTGTATTAGGACCCCTAAACAGCAGAAAGCACTTCTACAAATTGTGTAAGAGAAAATCCTTTGGTATGCACACCCATGTTTATTGCGGTTTTGTTCACAATAGCAAAGAGCTGGAAACAACCCAAGTGTCCATCAACAAACGAATGGATAGAGAAGCTTGGTATATTCACTCAATAGAATACTATGCAGCATTGAAAAACAAGGAACTCATGACATAGTATACAAAATGGATGATCCTGGAGGACATTATGCTGAGTGCAATATCTCAGTCACAAAAGGGCAAATATTGCATAGGGCCACTGTTGTAAAATGAGACTGACGTCGATGTTGAGGTAAGACAAAGAAGGAGGGGATGAATGATGTATACTGCATTGAAACAGATGAGGGAGAGAACTGTTTAAAAGGGATATATGATTGGGCATTATTGTCATGACAGGAGTCCAGAATGAAGGCTACACAGTGGAGTAGACTTGGGGAGAGGGATTGCATAACAATGGAAGAGTTTTTCTTTTACTTTTCAAGAAGAGTAAATTGGGGGGAAGGGGTGGGCAGGGAGTGCAACAATGACTGATTGGAAACCCTAAGTCTCTGTAAACTTTCATTAAAATTAGTTTTAAAAAGTGAATAAAATTATTATCTGGCCATGCTTATCCAAAAGCCATAAGCATTTAATAGTTCATTCATGCGGCAGAATAAAGAAAATAAATTTTTAAAAATTCTTGGGAAGGCGCTATCATGGGCGAGTCCCTGTGAGCATATGATGGTGGGTTGAGGTTAACAGGACACTAAATGAAATTGTCCATTGTGCTTTCTGCACTTTCTAGACTGATGTTATTAGCATCTCCCCTAAATTGTTTCCGTAGATCACAGAAGGGCAACTAGGAAGCTTTGAGCAACAACAGAGACAGTATATAAAGAAGGCAACTTTCCTATGGCCATGAGGAAGGGAAAACCTTAGAGGAAAGCCATGATATCACAGAAGCTACACACTGACTCTTAGACTCAGTCCAGCAGACACCAGTCTCACAGAGTTAGGAAATGGGGCTGTCCATGGAGTGGGTCACTTACCCTGTCCACCGGGCACATACTTGACTCCAGCCCACCAGTTGAGGAGCATGGTGGCGTGGTGGTAGACGTGCAGGAAGGTGATCTGGTCTGGCTTCTTTCGTAGGATAAAAAAGACCTGGAGGTGAAGAAGAGATGGTGTTGACTCTGAGAGTCTTCTTTCCTCTCTACCCTTCTCCTGGGGCCTCATCTATAACTAGAACATGGTAGGGTGATTCTGTTGATTTTATCAAGTGAGAGAGTAGAACTAAGGGGAAAGAATAAGAGTTGGACACCTTTATAATACTATGTACAAGGTAATTTACGTATGTGTGTGTAATGACATTATGAAGTTTATTCTAATTTTTATCTCCATTTTACAGATGAGGAAATGGAGGCACAAAAGGGTTAAGTAAATGACCAAGATCAATAAGTGAACAAACTTGGATTTGATGCAGTCTGATTTCAGAACAAGACTCTTCCTAATGCCATATCCCACCTCTGGGAGTACTGGCAAGCGAACTCAGGTGCTGAACTTTCCTGCCCAGGACCCACACACCTACAAGCTAACTTTCCAAAGCTTTCACTCAGACCTCATTCTAGTAAAAGACTGGTAATTGAAAGTCCCTCCCCCTCTATCATTATCCAAATATCGTAGCCATGCCCACCCACTGAGTCCCCCAAGCGCTACCATTGATCAGGAGGGTTTCTTATCCCTGAAAACACCAATAGCTATTGTTGCCTGGTGACTGTAGCTACTACATATGACAAGGTTTGATATGTGGTTGGCTCTCTGTTTTCATTTCACCTGGAGCCTGGCTACTAATGGATCACACACCTACTTGTATGCAGGTGCAAGGAAGGATGAAGAGTAGGGCTCACTCAAGCCTGTGGTGTCAAGAATCAAACTTTCTCTGGCAGGTACCTGAATCTCGGCTTTGCTCTGACATGAGCTTCAGGTTCAAGTGCCTGGGAAAACCCAGAGAACTTCCGACAAGGTTTGAGGTTGTCTCTGGAGAGAAGAATTTGCACAGTACACCGCTGATACTATCCTGGACCGCGTTGACGGGTAACTGGGCAAGCGCCCAGGGGCTTACCGTGTCAAGCAACTCAACCGCCTTTGAGAAGAAACACCACCAGCACACTTTCGCCATCTGCTGGTCAGAAAGAGGAAGTTCGATCAGTCAGTGGCCCTGCTCGTGGGATCTCTGCAAACTTAGCTTCAACCTCACATTTTGCCTGTTTTTCTGCGTCCGAGACCCTGTGCCCACATTACTGGCCTGTCTACAAGCAGATACTACTGGCAGGTGAAGAAGAAGAAGCTACATAGTGTGATTACAGGACTCCTCAATGTGCTCCAGTCCACAGTATTGCGATTACCTGAAAGACTATTTCTTGAAAAGTAGATTTTTAATCAATGAGATTCTGCATTTCAAGCATCCTCCCAATAAGCCTTTTGTTCTGTCTCCAGTTGAAACACAGTATTGTATGCCAAACCCACTGCTGTCCAAAGGATTCCTCCTCTTAGTTACCCTCATCAGGTTTCCAATGCTGTAAATGTTAATTGGAGCAGACTGCTTAATTTCTCTTCCTTGGAGCAGCTATGGATTTGTACTGTCAATTTTCAGCTCGCTGTTCAACACATAATGCACTATGCCACTAGGACTTCTTGGAACAGAATAGCTCACATGAATAAAATAGCAATCACTGAGCAAATTCTCAGGAAGCTTTGGTGGCTCAGTAGTAAGAAGTTGTGCTGTCAACCCAGAGACACAAGGTTTGAATCCACCAGCTGCTCCACAGAAGAAAGAAGGGAATTCTCCTCCCATGTGTTTTAATTGCCTCTGAAAACTAACTAGAGGGTCAGCTATGAGTTTTTTTGACTCAATAACACAAAACAACAATAGAAAGTTCTCAGCATGAGCACGCCAGACCTAGTGTGAACACTTTCATGTGTTGTTGTCATTTCCTTTTATAATGGAGACATTATTGTCCTCACTTTATAGGTAAGAAAACTGACATTCAGAAAAATTAGATGTCACATAGCCAGTAATTGGGAGGGCTGAGCTTTGGTCCGAGGTCATTTAACTCTTAAGACTGCTATCAAGTCATTGATGCGCTCTCTCCCAGCTGATGCCCCACCTGACTCCCTCTTGGTCCTGACACTGGTTCCAGTTGTCAGGAAGTGCTTCCCACCAAACCCTCCTCCCCACCTCTCCTTGAGTAACACTCCCCTTTTGTAGCCATACCCTTAGGGCGAGCTCACTCCTGCTGTAGTCCACTGGCTGACAGAAGTAGCTGTAGTTAGCCAGGAGGGAGATGGTCATGAACTGGCAGGAAAGGAAAAATGAAAGGATCAAGTCATCAACCTGCCCCCACCATGTTTAGAACGGACTGATTTAGGGACCAAAAATACCCCACCTGTCAGCATTATGTTGATGTCTACTCCCAGTGATTGCATAGGACAAAGTAGAACTGCCTGACAGGGTCCCTGAGGCTGAAATCATTCCAGGAGCAGATTACCACATCTTTCCTTCTGATTACCAACCAGGGGCACTTTCAGTTTGGGGACAGAATAGTGAATACCTGGCCTGGTCAGGTACTGGACAACAAAGCCCAGGATGGATGTCCCAATAAACAAGGTAAGCACAGGCATAATTACTAATGTGCAGTGAGCAATTTCACATTTCTTTTTTTTTTACTGCATCAAAGATTCTGCTTCAAGGTATGGCTGGTATCTGTCTCTCTCACAACTCTTTCCCACAGCACCTTCTCACGGAATCAAAGCCTCTTTTGAATTTATAAACCATGATTATTTACTAATCTTCTTACTACAGATTAATTAATAAGTAAGCACCAGCAAACCTGTGCTTCCCTGGCTTGCTGGGCAACCCACTCCTGACCAAGACTCTGTCCCAGCCCCCGCTCACCCCTGAGGAGCATTTGCTAATGGAATCAACTCCATACAGAGGCTAGATCACAGCTGGGACACGCATACATCTTTGTTGTTGCTGGCTGCCAAAGCCAACCTGTTGTTGTTGTTGTTATGTGCCCTCGAGTC